ATTTCTGTCAGAGACTGAAATGTGTCTGTTGGCCTTTTAAAGCAGCTGTGAAAACTTTTGTGCTTTGCTAAACTGCGACTACGAAACACACATTTTCATCAGATCTGGCTCAAACATTACACTGGCAGCTACCTCGCTAACAGCGCCATGCCTGCTGCATTTACGGAAAACAGAGTCAGCGCCTCCAGCTACAATTAAAAGGAAATCTAATCCATCAGTGAGCTTTTGGAAAGCAGAGTGGATGAGAGATGCACAGTAGGTGAAGACGAGTCAGTGCCTGCTTACTTTTAATGAAACAAAGCCTGCAAGCTTTCAGTTCAAGCAGAGGACTCCAGAGGTACGCACAGCATCATCTGGTTGTTGTTCCTGCACACAGCGTCTCGTAGAATAAGTCCAAGCCATGGGAGACTAGTTGTAGCTTTTCTCCTTCAGACTAAAACCCTGTACAGCAGAAAGCTGCTGTAGTGGCTCAGTCTGTTTTTTGGCTCTATTTATTTACACTTAAACTTAACACATTTTTTGGCCACATGAAGGCAGCAGAAACAAGTTGTAAACACAGCATTGATATAATTTTTATTTCAGGTCAGACCTTTAATAACACACAGGAGGAAATTCTCAGCATAAAAAACACAAACATGAAATATAAACACAGTAAAAAACACACTAACCCCCAAATTCCAGCGGACTTTCATATTGTTTTGTCATTTCATACATTCTCAGTTGAAAATTATTGATTATAGCTTTAAATCCTCCACCAGGGGGCGTTGCTTATATTCTAAATTAATCGTTAGTTGCAGCCCGACAACCCTGTCTCCTAAAAAGTATGTTTATATACAATTCAGCAAAAAAACTTTTATACAGTTTTATATATTTCTTTGACCAGAATTACAACGTACAACCATCAACTAATACCCAGTTAACCAACACTTCAGTTGTCAGTTAAGAATATGAGTACCAGCTGAACAACAGTGAAGTTAATAAGTCTCACGTTTAACAAAATACAGGATCTCCTGCAGACTCCAGTCCCACCTTCCTGTTATGACATTCTTGACTGAAAATAGGAACCTGGTGCACTTGTTTGGCTCTGCAGGGGCAACATGAAACACTGAACAGGCCGCTGCCCAGAAGCTCCGGAAACTCCACTTTGAATGATTTGACACATGAACTAAACGTCTCTCCATGCAGGGGCACCAGAGGTACCAGCTTATGGGTTGATTAAAAATAAAAAATATGACATTTAAGTTTTCTTTTTAATTAAAAGTTGTGGTGTAATGGCTGACGGTGTTAATTCGGTGTCCAGTATTGACCTGTGGTTATTTGTAAAACATAATCCAGAGTTTAATTTGAAATGAAGCTCATGGTTCTGATTGTTAAATAGAATAGAAGGAACTTCTCTGAACAACGAAGATTCAACTGACTGAAATCTTCTTATTTTACAGTTGTTTTAAATAAGTTAAGTTAAATAAGTTGTTTTAAATAAGCACATTCACTTGAGTGATGGATTTCCATTTCCATCCTCTTTATACTTCTAGTTCAGTGTGAATGATTGTGCTTGTTACACTATATTGATCTGACAGCTACAGTTCCTAGTTACTTTTCAGATTTTACATAAACAGATTGGGAAGCTGATAAAATACAAGGCACTGTTATAGATTATACATATATGACCCCACTGTCCTGTCTAGTTGGGGCACTTTGTCACATTCAAGAACCAAGAACAGTTTTTCCCCTCTTTTCTACCCCATCAATGATCTCACGCCCCCTCAGATTCATCTTGTGAGCTGACCACCAGGTAGCGAACCACCGGTTTACCCCCTGACTGTATAAAAAATAGTTAAAATCACCTCCACCTTGACCAGCTACAAAAGCTAAATGCTGCTGACACATTGATGCATCGGGATTATAGTTTATTATAGTCTAATAATACATAATAATATATTAATAATATGTGATAACAAATCTGTCTCACTGGACCTTTAAGTGCATTTGTTGGTTATATTTATTTGACTTGAGCAGGATTTTGAATGCAGAAGTTTTTACTTGTAATTGAGTATTTTGTTGTGTAATTGTGTTGTATTTGTACTTTTATATATGTAAAGGATCTGAATAGTCTTCAATCTTTCGATTAATGTAAGAGATTGAATCACTAGAACATGTATATGTTCTTCTCAGGCAAAGTACACCTGAAGATAAAACCATCAGCTGTTCAGCTTCAGTCGTCACTTCCACAGAAAACCACTGGCTCAGTACTGGTGAAGTTTTAGTGGAACTCTTTCGCCTCCCGGTGGTAGCTCGGTTTCTGGCAACCTGTAATGTTGGTTCTGACATAAAAAAGGCCATGAAGCCTGTAGATGCCATTGCACAGGCTCATTCCGCTGACCTGTGCTGTGCTCGGGAAGTAGTTAGTGGATCTCCGCAGGGTCTCTGAGTGAGATGAAGAGTCATTAGCCAGTTTTGACACATACAACCCAGCTCTAGCAGTTAAAAGAAAGAAGACCTTATAACTCACAGACAGTGTTCTGTCCACTGTAGGTCACGTCCATTACTCCTAGCCTGTCTCTGAAGAGAGCTCTTCTCAATATTTTGGACAGAGGTGTAGAAATGAACAACGGGTTCTCCTGAAGCAACCTTAATCTCATGAAAGCTGTGAATTGCCGTCTCCCTCTTCCTTCTTTTCTGGATGCTTCCCTGCAGAAGCTGACAGGTAGTGCATGCAATGACAGACTTTCTGATTAAATTCTTGTTAAAAAAGTCACGTTAAAAAAGACCTCTCCACCATGCAAGGTTGGCAGCCTGTCCTGAGCTCCACTGTCTCTATGTAACTTGTTAGTCCCTTCCTCCACGCTATGTTACAGGAGAGGAAGAGGAAATAATTCTGGCTCATGAGAAGGCCATAACAACTGGGCTGGATATGGTTAAAGTTGTTAGGGGATTTGCACACAGAAGCTTATAAAATAGGGTTGGGTTGGATGTGGGTTTAGAATTTAAAACATTATAGCTTTACGTTTAAAAAGAATAGTAGACTTTAGTATTCTAGAAAACTATACTGGATTAAAGCACATACTTTATGCTTGATATACCAGTCCATGTAAGAATACATAATTAGATATTATATAAAGGTGTCATTCTATAAGAGTTTGGTTTGGTTGATTGGTAGTTGGTCTAAACATTTTTAAAATAAAGCAGATAAATTTATAAAAACTACAATATCTGCCTCTAAATTATAGTGGGATTAAAAACTGTAGAAATTAGTAATAATGAAATGAAGTACGAGTATCCGTACAGTCACCTATCAGTAAATGTACTTTGTTATTATCCACCACTGCACAGGACCTCATTACCGGCTGCTCCCTGTTACTCGTTAGGGTCAGTATAGATAGTGGACTGACTCTCATTCTGCCAGACTGCCTCTGTTGCTCAGTGCAGCCTGGTTAACACTGTCCCTGTTTGTTCTTGTCGTACTGACCTTCTGTCTGTTTTCACACCACCTACTGCCTTTCAGCTTAACTGTGTTTGAGATTTTGAGGGACTCCAAATTGAGCAGAACTGAGAGTAAAGTCTAGTGCAGACTGCAAGACTTTTGACAGAGTTTTTCTGGCATACAAAATCTGCTGCCACAGCTTTCAACATATTTGGTCTTATTGTAGTAAAATAAATCACGATAACTCCAAATCCTCTGTTTGATCAAGGGTATGTAATAGTATATAATCTTTAGTTAAAGATGTTGATATTTGTGCGTGCTCATTGTACACTCCCACGAAGGGAGATCTTAATCATCTAAATCAGCTGACAACCCTCCCATGAGAGCCAACTGCTTACTGGGGTTGGCCAGGACAACCTGTAAGGCAGTGGGAGGGGCGTTACAATGCTGCGAGCCAAATGTTAAAGTCCAACTAGCCCTTCCTGCATTTTGTAAATGAGAGATAACACATTATGTCTTTGACAATAAAATCTACTCATTGTGGAATGCCATAAAGCCTAAAAACCCCTTCTCTCTTCCTCCTGCCCAACCAGAGCCCAAGACCAGAGCCAGATTCTTAAAATATTCATGTGAAATCACACTGAACCCAAACCCAGCAAACACATACCTGAGAGATAAGACCAGTACTGTTGACTGGACGTTATTACTGGGAGGTGAGAGAGGAGAGGGGAAGCAGTTTATGCAGTCACATACAAGAGAATCAGCAGAGGAGGGAGCTGGGATGAATGTGGATTTAGAGGCAATGACAAATCATTGGAGTTATATTGTGAAAAACACAGTTCTAACTTTTTATTAACAACCAGTTATTTAGTTTAAAATAATATTTACATGAACAACTCAAGGTGTAATAATCATGGTTAGTGGTGCGACACTGCTGTAAATTATTATGAATTCACCTATTAAGAGAAATAAATTGAAGAAATTATTATTAGACTGATTCATTTTATGTAGTCTACATTTATTTAGGCTGTACTCTGCCACATTATAAATTCTGTGATTTTTTAGATTGACAGTGTTCTGGTTTATTTTCCACTAATTTTAGCTTGTTCTTCCACTTACTGAAGTTCAGGCTCACTACACTGTGTTTGTTCATTGTGACACTGAGAATGTCTATAGAACAGCACAATTTCCAGATTGATTCAGTCATTACAGTCGGGTGCATTCAGGTCCTGTTGGATTAACCAAATGCATCTAACATGAAAATACATCTTTTACTCAAAATATTCTCAAAACTAAAAAATGAAAAAGAATGAATTGAATTTGAATTATTTTAATTGCTGCATACAGTATCTCTCTGTAACTGCTCCTCTTCCTGGACTGAATCACAGTTTGATGTCTCCTCCCTCTTCTTCCTGCTCTCAAACACAGCAAGCTTCACTCTGTCCACATATTTCCTTGTTCCCTCCCCTTTAGATCTACAGTTTGAAGGATGGGTGTAACCAACATGTGGAACTGGGAGACTCTGTTCACTTAGGAAACACATGTTGTTCAGATCAGAGCTCAAACTAGTTTCATTTATAAGGAAGTGAAACTCAGACAGTCATTGTGACTGAGAGGTGAAATGGCGCAGAAAGGAGTTCAGCTGGACTGGGAAACCTTCTCTTGTTCAATCTGTCTGGATCTACTGAAGGATCCGGTGACTATTACCTGTGGACACAGCTACTGCATGAACTGTATTAAAAGCTTCTGGGATAAAGAGGATGAGATGCAAATCCACAGCTGCCCTCAGTGTAGGTTGTTCTTCATACCAAGGCCTCTCCTGGTTAAAAACACCATGTTAGCAGTTTTACTGGAGGAACTGAAGAAGACTGGACTCCAAGCTGCTCCTGCTGATCTCTGCTATGCTGGACCTGAAGATGTGTCCTGTGATGTCTGCACTGGGAGAAAACTGAAAGCCTTCAAGTCCTGTCTGGTCTGTTTGGCCTCTTACTGTGAGAATCACCTACAACCTCACTTTGAATCACCTGCCTTTGTCAAACACAAGCTGGTGGACCCCTGCAAGAAGCTCCAGGAGAACATCTGCTCTCGTCATGATGAGATGATGAAGATGTTCTGCCGTACTGATCAGCAGTGTATCTGTTATCTCTGCTCTGTGGATGAACATAAAGGCCACGACACAGTCTCAGCTGCAGCAGAAAGGACTGAGAGGCAGAGAGAGCTCGAGGTGAGTCGACAAAACATCCAGCAGAGAATCCAGGACAGAGAGAAAGATGTGAAGGAGCTTCAACAGGAGGTGGAGGCTATCAATCGCTCTGCTGATGAAGCAGTGGAGGACAGTGAGAAGATCTTCACTGAGCTGATCCGTCTCATCCAGAAAAGAAGCTCTGATGTGAAGCAGCAGGTCAGATCCCAGCAGGAAACTGAAGTGAGTCGAGTCAAAGAGCTTCAGGAGAAGCTGGAGCAGGAGATCACTGAGCTGAAGAGGAAAGACGCTGAGATGAAGAAGCTCTCACACACAGAGGACCACACCCAGTTTCTACACAACTACCCCTCACTGTCAGCACTCAGTGAATCTACATCCAGCATCAATATCCGTCCTCTGAGGTACTTTGAGGATGTGACAGCGGCTGTTTCAGAGCTCAGAGATAAACTACAGGACCTTCTGAGAGAGAAATGGACAAACGTCTCACTGACAGTGACTGAAGTGGATGTTTTACTGTCACAACCAGAGCCCAAGACCAGAGCTGGATTCTTGAAATATTCACATGAAATCACACTGGATCCAAACACAGCAAACACACTGCTGTTATTATCTGAGGGGAACAGAAAAGCAACAGTAATGAATCAACAACAGTCTTATTCTAGTCACCCACATAGATTCACAAAATTTTGTCAGGTCCTGAGTAGAGAGAGTCTGACTGGACGTTGTTACTGGGAGTTGGAGAGGAGAGGGGAAGGAGTTTGCATAGCAGTTGCATACAAAAATGTCAGCAGAGGAGGGAGAAAGAATAACGGTGGATTTGGATACAATGACAAATCTTGGATGTTAAATTGTAACAACAACAGTTATACGTTTTGTTACAACAAAGTCCAAACTCCAGTCTCAGGTCCTCAGTCCTCCAGAGTTGGAGTGTATCTGGATCACAGTGCAGGTATTCTGTCCTTCTACAGCGTCTCTGAAACCATGACTCTCCTCCACAGAGTCCAGACCACATTCACTCAGCCTCTCTATGCTGGACTTTGGTTTTATTATATTGGAGACACTGCTGAGTTTGTAAACCCAAATAGAGATGTAATTAAAAGGACCAGTGTGTAGGATTGGTGACATCTGGCAGTGAAGTTGCAGATTGCAATCAACTGGATACAGCTTGTTCTTCCAAGCATGTAGGAGAAACTATGGTGGCTGCAAAACTCATGAAAAAGGCAAAAGACCAAATATAAGATAACAAAAACACAACAATTATCATTTTCAGGTGACTATACACAAACTGCCATAGAGCCACAAAATATCACACGCTGGTCTTTTAAGGGACTTAGTTTATCTCAATGTTTTGGTTGCTAAGAGCTGATTGTTGTCACCTGTCAATCAAACATTGTGGGTGGTACTTTGAC